AAAATAAGCAGATCAGGGAAGGCCTAGAAGAGGTGACAGCTGAACAAGGACCGGAGACAGGTAAAGGACCGAATCACATGGGGAAAAGATGTCCCAGGCAGAGGGCACAGCAAGTGCAAAGGCCCTGGGTTACATTTAAGTAAGGAACAGAATAGGTGGAGGTGGGGAAATGAATGCTGCAGTGGGACCATAGTGACCTTGACTATGGGGTGAGCAGCAGGGCTGATCCTCGCCCCCCAGTAAAGACTCACAAGGTGAGAAAAGGCGAAGGTGACGTTGGAGTCGAGTTTATCCGTGTTCCTGTTGCTCAGAAAGACCGAGCTGACGGCTGTGAAAAGGCTGACCTTGGCACCTCGGACAGGACATCCATGGATCTTTTCCAGCTCAGCATGCTTCTCTGAGTCCAGGTCAAAGGAGGCGTTGGCCAGCAATTTCTGCATGTTTGGACTGGAGAGGATCCCCACCACAGTGGGGCCTGGGGGACAGACATGCTGGCTACCTTCGGTTCTTCCTCCCATGCCCTGTCCTTCCTCCTAAGACATCTAATTCAGGTTCGCCAGTCCACCGTGATGCCCAGAGTCCCTCCTGATTGGTCCATTTCCAGTTGCTGCACATTCTGAACCTCACCCCTAGCCACATCCTGGCTCCTCCTTCCCTCTCCCTCGGGTGCCCACTCTGGATCCTTGCCGTTACCCGACTCCCTGGCTCCAATTGCCATGGTCCAGTTCAGCAGCATCCGTGCATGGCTCTGGCCCACAGTGATGTTTCCATTCACCGGCTCCTGGACCACCAGGGACAGCTCTGAGGGGAGAGGGACAGTGATCGGGAGCTCTAAGTGGAAGAAGGGGTTCAGCACTGGGGCAGGGTAGGACGAGGCCTCACCTGTGTCCCCAGGGGAATGGTAGGTGAAGGAGCCGTTCATGGTTTTGGCCAGCATCCTCAGGACTTCTTCAAGGTTTGAGAGCAGGAAGGTGGCTATGCGGTGTCGGGTAGCCAGGTCCATACCCAGGTCCCCTGGGATATTCAGCAGGTCATCCACTGACGTGATGAGGTCCTGAGGGTGATGAGTGATAGCTGCTGGGTCATTGTACCACAGGGGCCACCTGAAGGATCCTGATCTCCCCTTCTCCTTCCCTGCCCCCCCGAACTGGGGTACACACAGGAGAACCACCTGGGTTGCCTGGGGCACAGGCATAGGAGAATCCTCTAGACACTACAGTAGCCAGAAGACAAGAGGATTGAGGATTTGCCTCTGTGCACATGTTACAACCTCAACAGCGCTTAACATTTATCAGGCACATTCTTTATGTCATGCCCTGTTCTAAGTCTGCACTGCCCAGGAAAGTTGCCACGATCCACATGTGACAACTGAAATGTGGCTCTATGCTAGAATGGTAATATTTTGGATCTACTGGGTTAAATGCAATTTTCAACATTAATTTCACTTGTTTTCTTTTCCTTTTAATTTTTATTTATCTTTTACTTTTACATTTTAAAAACGTAGCTACTGGAGGAGAGAATATAGCTCAGCGGTAGATTGTGTGCTTAGCAGGCATAAGTTCAATCCCTGGTATGTCTATAAGAAAAAAAATTAAACTTAATTACCTCCCCTGACCCTGCCAAGAAACAGCGTTAAAAAAATCACTGATTAAGTGGGGAGGGTATAGCTCAGCGGTACAGCGAGTGCTTAGCATGCACGAGGTCCTGGATTCAGTCCCCACCACCTCCATTAAAATGAATAAATAAATGAAAATCCTAATTATCTCACACCAAAAAATGATAACAAAAATTTTTTTAATTAAAAAATGTAGCTACTGAAATTTCAAATGCCATAAGGGGCTCACATATTTATTTTATTTATTTTTTAATGTATGATTATTTTTCAGGGGTCCACATAATTCTACCAGGCTATGCCCATATGTTAGAACTTACATAGAGCGCTTATATTGTGTGCCAAGCACTGTTCTTTGAGCTTTAACTTCTATTAGTTTATTTAAACGTTTTCACCAATTGTATGAAGTAGGCACCATTTATGAAGTGAGGTGACTGAGGTCCAGAAACAGGGAGTCACTTGCCTCAGGTCACACAGCAGGAAGTGGTGGCAGGTGGGATGGCATATATTTGAACCCTGTGGCCTGGCTCCAGAGGCAAAATTCTCAACTGCTCCATCCTATTACCATTATATGCCTCTCAAGCTACTGTGTATGTGTGTGTGTGTGTGTGTGTGCGCGCGCGCATAGGTGTGCATGTGTGTGTGTGTGTGTGTGTGTTTTGGGATGTATATGTATGTCTGTGTCCATATAATGTATATATTTGGTGTGTGTATATTGTGCCTACAGTCACACGCATTTCTCTGACCAGAGGCCCCTGCTTCGGCTTCTCCACTGACCCTGAAGTGTCTCCCTGCCACCCCACACATGGTCCTGGGCTTCCCCCAAGGGTCTGCCCTTACCTGTATAGTTTCCTGAGCCGAGTCTGGCTGGAAGTCTCTGCTCATACTCTGGACTTTTTCAAAGAAGCGAGAGAGATTCTAGGGAGAGGTTTGGGGGGGAGGTGTCAGGGAGCCTCATGTGTGGGTGGGGGGGCTTGAGGCAAATGGGTAGGCAGGGTGGGCTGCTGGGAAGGATTCTTGCCTCCTGATTCCTGCTGGGGCCCCTTACCTGGCTCTTGATTCCAGGGGGTGCGGTCCAGGTGGCGAAGATCTCTGCAGGGGAGAGGACAGCGGTTCATTAGGTGTGAGAGCATCTGTGTTTGTTGTGGGCGGGGTCTCGGGTCAGGTGAGGACAGGTACCTTCACAGATGGTCGTCACTTGCTTATCTTGGAATCCGGCTTTGGGCAACCAGCCTCGGCGGCAGTGGCACGTGTATGAACCCACCGTGTTGCTGCAGACGGTGGAGCTGTGGCACTCATGCTGCTCGGAGCTGCACTCGTCCACATCTGGGAACACGAAGAAGGGGGTCAGGCTCTGTCCCAGCCCCGATGAGGCCCCTCTGCTGTCTGTGCCCCACCTCCCTTTTCCCATAATAATGTCCCATTCCGCCTAAGAGATGATGCGGCCTGGTGGCCGCACATCCTTGAGAGGCGAATGCTGAGGTTATTTGTAGAAAGTGTGCAGAGTCCTGACACACAGCAGGTGAGCCCTGTACAGGGTTGTGAAACTACTGAAATTTCTTCATCCCAGTTAGTAATTAGCTGCTGCCTGGGTTTCCCGGGAGCCTTCCCCTTGGTACCCCGGCTCCTTCCCCAGGACCCCCCAGATCTTTTCACATTAAGCCTCAAAAGAACGCCTGGCACAGCAGGGCCTCCCCCACCGTTCATTCTGCTTGGTTTGTGTGGGGCCGCTGAACGCGTGATCGGATGTTTTGAGTGC